GTATATTGTTATGAAGGTCAACACACTGCAATTCAGGGAAATATTTACCATTTCATTATTTCGCTTTCCAGCATTTACAGGAAACGCTTCATTCTAGAAAATGCTATCGCAAAACGGTTGTAAATAATAAATGTAACAGTAGAATACGTCCTAACACAGTCACTCAACTAGGAGAGTGATTGTGGTCCTAGTAACAAACTAAGTGACTTCTAAAGACTGAATGGTGTTTGCGAACTTCGTATTAGTTATAAACCGACGTTAGCTTCACGTTTATGTCATACCATGGAAACAGCCAAAAACATGTTGCTTGTTTTTGAGCGGAGCGGATCGCAAACCAGCCTACCGGCTTGTATTTGATGGGTGTTGTATTGTAAAGAAATAAGTTAAAATTTAGTTTCACATGTTTTTCAGGTGACATTGATTCCAGACACTCCAACTCCAATTGATGAGCCCTCGCATCCAGTTTTTCCAATAACAACAATTCTGTCATCTTCTACATCAGAATGTCAGTCTGCTATAAAAGCAGAGGCATCTGTTACTGTGTCAGCGCCATCACAGACTGCTCAAATGAAACAACAGCCATCCACTACAACATCACAAACAGTCGCCTCCGTGGCACCATTTACAGTGGTACCTACGTCCAATGTGAAAGTTGAATCGTCAACTGCAGTGCTACAACTAAATGTTCAGTCATCTTCCACATCAACGAAACCTGCTGTGGATTTATCTACCACAACACAGCAAGCAACAGTTCAGCCTTCTTCCGCAACATCAAATCCCAGCATTAAGGTGGAATCCTCAACCACAACAGCGCAAGAATCGTCAACCACAACAGCGCAACAGACAGTTCAATCATCCACAGCAGCGTCACAGCCATGTGTTAAAGTGGAATTGTCTACCACTACATCACAACCAGGCATTAAAGTGGAATCATCAACCACTACATCACAACCAGGCATTAAAGTGGAATCATCCACCACTACATCACAACCAGGCATTAAAGTGGAATCATCAACCACTACATCACAACCAGGCATTAAGGTGGAATCATCCACCACTACATCGCAACCTATCATAAAAGTAGAGTCAACTACAGCCCCACAGTTCGGTGGGAATGTGGAATCTTCTACCACGATATCCCAGTCGGTGAAGGTGGAGCCATCGGCAGTTGTACAAGCTACAAGCACTACACAAGAATCTGCTACAAAACAAGAACAATAGACCCCAAACCCCACTGGGTAAGCAGTGGTACAGGAAAATATGAAAAATGAATTTAACTCTTGGGGAAAATTAATTTAAGAAAGTGCTTCCAAATGAGAGTAAAATATTTGTATAAATTTATTTATGAATAATTTTGTATTGTGTAGATATCACTCGACATTATAATGTAATTCTACCTTGATCATGACGGAAAGTACCGGTAATTACTTATCTTATTTTAATTAATGTATATTATGTTGCAACAAGAAAATATTTTAATTTTGTGTACAGGATGTACTGCCATTGAGTGTCTGCTCTTGAAGAGTGTTATCATTTACTGAAAATTGATATTTTCATTTAATAAATAAAAATCAATTTTAATATTTTGATATACATGTGATGTTATGATCGTTGATATTCACTGGGTGATCTTTCTGCTCTATTGCTAGTTCCCATTGCAGGTGTGAAATCGTGATAAAGCTCACAATTTTTAAAGCACTATACAACAGGCCTGAATAATTTTTTTTAATACTATTTTTGGGTATTAATCATACTAAGCTGTTTAGTGCTGTTTAGTGCGGAGTCAAATGCATTTTGTAGTTGTTTATATTTCGCAGTGCTTTTCTATTTCTATTACAAAGCTTTGTCTATAAATTGAAGGGTACTCTTCATAAGAATTGGCACATTACCCAAAGTTATTAGTTAATAAAAAAGATAAGTTTTTTTTCAAGACTTTTTGATGGTTTGTGGATTAGTCTTAGATTTGTAACCATTGCCAGTTCTTTTTTTCGTTGTAATGACTGTTTTCCAGTAAACCCAAAAAAAAAATTCACATTCAAAAAAAATAAAAACCGAGAAAAAGGTACCTAGATTTGCATGGTTGGGTTAGGCCTGTAATTAGAAGTATTATTCCTGCAAACAAGATGTTTTTTTTTGCGTGGGTGTTTGCTCTCCTCTTCCAGTGTATGTCTTTTGTACTGAATTCTCCCTTTTATGTATTCCCTGAATTGCCACAAGACAGTCACCAACAATTGAACGCCAACATGTGTTGTACTAATAAAACAAAATACAAATTGGTCATGTGGTATTTGAGTCTTTTCTTGTATGTGTGTTTAATGTAGCAATTTGATTAAAGTACATTTCATCTAATTTCCCCCTTCCCCTTATTTTTCATACTAGTTTTCATAGTACAAGATTATGCCAACAACATTTTCGTTGATGAACCACCTAAATTTAAATAGTTCAGATGTTGGAAGCTTTACCTGTTGTGATTCAAACACTTTTGACCACCTTTCAATGGTTAAGGAGGAAATCTATCACCTCAACTCCACAAGTAGCCTGACAAGTTGCCCAGTCCTAACCAAAGAGCATGTCTGGTCCATA